GGAGAAGGATTACGAGGAGGTGGGCACCGACAGCGTCGGGGATGAAGGCGAGGAAGAGGGCGAGGAATATTAAGTTGAAATAAATAAACAAAACCTACAACGATTGGGAAGTTGAGTTTTGTTGACGAATTTTCATTGTTCACATTACACTCAACGGTGTGCTCAAATTTACAGTGATATTCTTTATTTAACAGATATTTATCAACATATGTCAAGCCATGAATGGTCTGCAAAAGTCATCAATGTGGAGAGATTAAGAGGAATTCACTGTCAAGATATCATCTTTCCTATGTGTCTTTGTCCTGAACCAATAAAGTGAGACATGCTCACATTGGTGTACTTTATTGTGAGTGTCAACTCAACACAGCCCTCGATCGCACAGCTCATGCTGCATTACCTCCCTTCACCTCCTTGATAAACACTGAACATTTAAGCTTAATTCCTCCACACAGCATGTGCAATGCCTTAAATAACACAAGCACCTCGGGATTAAACCAGTATTCTCTATTGGTGCTAGGAATAGGTTTAAGTCTTCATTACAAATGAATAATTAAGAGGGGATCATCTATTTTAATAATTTTAACGGTAAATCAAATGCTCTCTTGATGACAAAATTATAAAAATGGGTTAAATTGCTTATTGTAATTGATAGCTTTTGGTTCAAACGTGTCAGTTATATATATATTTAACTTTACGAAGTCATGAATTTGAGTCATGGTGCCTTCAGGGTCCTCTCCTACATTCCCCTTCCAAATTGAGAAATCACAAATCGGACTGAATTCTGGTGCCTTTCAGAGTAAAATAACAATAAAACAGTCATGTGTTGCTGTGTGTTTGCTTCGTGCTACAAATAATTATTGGACTGCTATTTGGATTCATAAAATGACTTGACAATAACACTGTTAATTGATATAACAAAAAACCCAATAGTGTGCCTCAGGTTATCATCATTACTACATTTTATATTTTGTATTTATGATAACATTTTGAGTCTCATAAGTCTCTATTTTCAGCAAATTAAATATAGGTTAAAATAAAAAGACTCATTAATGTTAGTTTAATTTAATCAACTGTACAGAATCTCGAATGTGAAAATAATTACTATATAAAAGGAACACATTGGGACTAAGAACTGCCTCCAATAAAACATTATCGATTCCAATTCCCTTCAGATGACGCAGCTAAACTGTAGGAGACGGAACATTTCGAGCCGTACCTGAATGCAGCATCGCCCAGAAAAAATTCAAACCACCGCTTTGGCTCCGCCTCCTCGAAAACGAATAAATACAGCAGCTCCACTTTCGGTCCTCACAACTGCCTTCATCAACCGATTCTTCAACGTCGGAAAGAAGAGGAATTAAACAGCCAGAAAATGGTGAGTATTTAGTCGAAATTACATTTAAATAACATCCGCATGTTGTTACAAATGTGTGAAAGGGACATTTCAGCTTTTGTAAGATGAAAAATCGCAGTTTTTAACAAATAAAAGCATTATTCATGCGAAAAAATTGCTAACATTTTTATACTAATAGTGAATAACGTTATATAGCTATACCATTCTCGCCTCAAAAAGCTACGTAAATCTGTCAAATCAACGTAAATGTGATTGTTCTTAGTTATAGTGTCGCGCGTGAGAGTTCTGTTATATGACATCACATAGCTAACATTAGCTTAGCTTACTGGCGCAGTTTCGATTAAAACGGACAAATATATTTACGTTAAAACAGTTAAAATGTTCCATATTCACTCCCGTAATATACTTAAATTAAATGAAGCCGCATAATATAAACGGCTATCTTTTAACCGTTAGTGTGGTCGATTGTAACAATAACCGTTAGACTTCATAGCGGCTTTTTTATGCCCGCGAGCTCACGTTTTCGACCGTCAGTTAACGCCCTGTTCTGTTACCGCGACACAAAGGTAGTGCTTTGCGGCAGTGTGGGGGCGGGGAGGAGAGCTTCTTCTTCTATGGATTCTTTTTACACTCTCCTCCCTGCTGGGTCTCAGTTAGGGAGGGGCAGGATTTAACCCGCTAAAGCTCTGCGGTAACGGGCCGTGTGCAGACATTCATCGAGCCCGCAGAACGTCTTCACGTGCGGCTCTGGATGTAGAAACGTCCCCTAAAGCACCATTTATAAGTGGATGTTTGCACTGGGTTTTTAGAACGATAGTGACATTTAGGAGGTTTTGATTGTCCAGTATATCGGCCATTTTGTTTTTGTCCCCCCTCCCCTTATAGACCCCCATAGAGAAATGATGTCTAGACTATGTTCTTAATGAATAAATTATCATTATCTGACATTTAATAGACGGAACCAAGAGTGCACATCACAATGTTGGTGTGTTTGCCTCCTTGATGGCTGATCTTTGCCTCTTCTCTCTGCAGCGTGAGTGTATTTCTATGCATGTCGGCCAAGCCGGAACCCAGATGGGCAATGCATGCTGGGAGCTGTATTGTCTGGAGCACGGCATCCAGCCGGACGGACAGATGCCCAGTGACAAGACCCGGGGAGGAGGAGACGACTCCTTCAACACCTTCTTCAGTGAGACTGGAGCCGGTAAACATGTTCCCAGAGCCGTGTTTGTGGACCTGGAGCCAACAGTCATAGGTAAGATAACTGGTTATTATTATAGAGGCAATTACTATTACATCTTTAGCCGTTTGTACCAAAGCTATATTACTAAAAAACGGTATTCTCGTTGCTCCACAGATGAGGTCCGTACAGGAATCTATCGGCAGCTCTTCCATCCTGAGCAGCTGATCACCGGTAAGGAGGACGCCGCCAACAACTACGCCCGCGGTCACTACACAGTCGGAAAGGAGATCATCGACATGGTTCTCGACAGAACGCGCAAACTGGTGAGCTCTAATAATTCATATGTATTGTTGCTTGAGACCTCAATGGTTATGACAATAACACGTATTCTTTCACTATGTTTTCAGGCTGACCAGTGCACAGGGCTCCAAGGGTTCCTCATCTTCCACTCCTTCGGAGGAGGAACCGGCTCTGGCTTCACCTCTCTGCTGATGGAGCGTCTCTCCGTCGACTACGGCAAAAAGTCCAAGCTTGAGTTTGCGGTCTACCCGGCCCCCCAGGTGTCCACAGCTGTGGTGGAGCCCTACAACTCCATCCTGACCACCCACACCACCCTGGAGCACTCCGACTGCGCCTTCATGGTGGACAACGAGGCCATCTACGACATCTGCCGCAGGAACCTGGACATCGAGCGCCCGTCCTACACCAACCTGAACAGGCTGATCGGACAGATCGTCTCCTCCATCACCGCCTCCCTGCGCTTCGACGGCGCCCTGAACGTGGACCTGACGGAGTTCCAGACCAACCTGGTGCCCTACCCTCGTATCCACTTCCCTCTGGCCACCTACGCCCCAGT